TGAGAATATTTTCCCTTGTGCTTTCTCATTCTCCCTTGGCATCTTTTTATGTTCCCCTGTGAACTATACTCAAGTCAAGAATGACAAAGCAGAAAATAAACAATGCAATTCCACAGCAGTCTCTTCAGAAAATAAATCCAAATCTGTAAATCCTAAAATTATGAGACAGAGCTATTCTAATTATGATGAACACCATGGATGATCCATGCAGAGTCAGTATTCTCAATTGAATTAAAAGTATCATCTCTTTCCAGCAACAACAGAGATCCCACTTGGCACCTTTTGATCACTGATGGGGTCAGGAAGAGACTTACTCTCACCCTTTTCAACTTTGCATAGGGGTAAATAGCCGTTGTGGTGTAGTGGAAAAAGTGATGGATTCAGACGAAAGAGACTTGGGTTCAGATCCCTGCTTGGCCAATCTGCTATTGTGGTATTTAGTGTATTGACTCACTCATCACTTCAAACGAACACAAGGATTTGTGTATAATTCGTTTAGCCAAATTTCCAGTGAGCCATCACTATGTAGTGCACATTGTTATACTGGAACTAGGACCTGAAAACTCACTTGGTTGGAGTGGTGGGCACTGGAGAAACCACTCCATAAATATCTCACAAATCTTGAAAGCCCTATTAGGGTTGTTAACAAGTTGGATGTGAATTGGTAACATGTAACACACAAACACTTCTTGATACAAGGCTGCAAGTGACTTTATCCCAACGGCTGTGAAACGCTGCTGGATGTTACCTTTCTACCAGCATGCATTAGATGTGAATTGGTAACATGTAACACATAAACACTCTGCAAGTGACTTTATCCCAACTGCTGTGAAACGTTGCTGGATGTTACCTTTCTACCAGCATGCAAAAGACATTTTGCTTCAGGTAGTTTTTTGGTAAAATAATTAGCTGTGAAGGAAGGGATTTTTAACTAGGGATGCTATATCTTTTGCCTTTTTAGGCATGCTCTTAAATGGTTTAAATTGTTTTTATTTACTTGTTTCAATATGCAATATGTTTAATCAGTTTCTAATACTGTAATTTATTATATTTTTTAATTGTCAACATTTTTCTTTTATATATTTTGTAAGCTGACTTGGGTCCCTTCACTGTAAATAAAAAGGCAAACTATAGTTAAAACAAATGAACTGTTTGCATCCTACAAGGTAATATTCCATGTTTGTTCGGGGGATATCTAAATAGTCATGGGTATCTTGATAAAATAGCTCCAGAAAATATGCTGGATTGTCAAATGACACTGTTAGTTTTGCACTGCTTAAGCAAGTACTGCATTACAGTCTGTATTGCTCCTTGTCAGCTATTATAATCTGTGACTTAAACAATAAACAATATACAGTATTTGTCAGCTGAAAGGTAAATAAACCTAAATTGGATATTCTTTGGGTCTGAGGGAAGAGGAAAGACAACAGATCAAAGGACTTCATTTCTACTAAATTTATCTAGCATTTAATTTTTGTGATTTTAGCACCTCGGCTCTGAAAAACCCAGATCATGTAACTAAATCCTTTGAGAATTGTCCTCTTCACATGCTTGTCAAATCTAGCATGTTGCCGAGTGTTCTCATTTTAGTGCTCTGTCATACTCAAATAAAATCTAGTTATTATAGAAGCATTAAAGGCAAATTGATAAACCAGAATGTTCTTGTATTCAGAGCCATGAGATCATTCCAGTGCAGTTACAGTAAACACATTCAATGGTAAACAAGTCATCATCCATGACACAGGAAAAAAACTAGTAATGTGAGATCTGGGGCTGCCGGCAAAAGAAAAGCTAAAAGAAAAATATTGCAGCACTTTATAGACCAACAATTTTATTTCAGTATGAACAGTCGTAAGATTGAATCCATTTGATGGAGTGAGCTTCCGTCACTTGTCCCAGCTCCTGCCGAACTAGCAGTTCGAAAGCATGTAAAAATGCAAAGTAGATAAATAGGTACTGCCATGGTGGGAAGGTAACAGCGTTCTGTGTCTAGGCACGCTAGTCACGTGACCACGGAAACTGTCTATGGACAAACGCTGGCTCTGTGGCTTGGAAATGTGGATGAGCACTGCCCCCTAGAATTGGACACGACCAGACTAAATGTCAAGGGGAACCTTTACCTTTACCTAAGTTATCACAGAAAAACAGAATAATGGAGTTGTTAGGGACCTATAAGGACATTTCAAAAGAGAGGGCTCAGGCCTCTGCCTAAGGATACTAGGTGGTCATGCTAGGGCTGGCACTCCTCCAACAGGAGGGGAAGCAGAATTTCATTGAACAAAATGACACAGCCTGCTACTGTGGATACAACTAATTTCACAAAAAAATTCTTTCTTTTTCATTATAACTGTCAAAACACCCTGGTCATCAGGGCCAATTTCCAAGCTCTGGGTGTGGAAATGCATTGACCTGATGCATAGCTGTGGGATGTGAAGGTATTTTTCTGTCCTACTGGAGCATATTTTGCATGCAGAGTAATCTGTGTGTGGTGAATTGTTTCTATGCATAGATTGGATCTTCCTGGATTACTGCCATTATTTTTTCACCTTAATGGCCGCTTAGAAGACATAATTGCAATTCTCCATATTTTTAAAACCATCTAAGGAGGTCTGCTTGAGAGTCCCCCCTCTTGAGTCTAAAGTTTAAACGAAGCACTCCAAATGACTTTTTTCTCCGTCATTGGCAAGACTGGATAACCTCTGTGTTGGCAAACAGAAGAAACTTTGCAGAGTAGAACTTTTGTAGAATAGTAATCTAGCACTGTTACAAGAGAATTTAAGACTGGAAGAAATAGCCATATACCAGGTTAGGCCATTGGTCCATCTTGTTTAAGATTGCCTTTACCAAGGATGAGCAACCATGGTCCTCCAGGTGTTGTTGGACTGCAACTTCATGTCATCCCTCACTACTGGCTACATAGGAAAGGGCTTGTGGGAGTTTCAGCTCACAAACACTCGGAGGACCTTTTCCAGAATTGGTCTACAGTTCTGTTTGGTACTAGCCCTTCAAGGTTTCAGAGCAGAGTGTTACCCTTGAGACACTAGCATTTGAGCCTAGGCCTTATGTAGGCAAAACTAGGAATCAATTACTGAGCTATAGCTTTTCCACAAGGCCACTCAGAACCTCTCAGAGAAGTAGCTTTAGCTTGCACCAATCTATACTTCAAAATTACAGGAGTGGGTGAAGGAAGACTTTTTTATTTATTTTCTTTTCAACAGTTTCCTTCTTTTTATCTTTATTAAAACAGACCCAAAGCAGCCCACAAAAGATAAAAGCAGACAAAAACTCAATTCACAATACTGATGACATGCAATTAAAAAAAAAGATCAGAACATAAAACACATTTCCTTCACTAGGGTTTGTAAGCAGTGAGCTAGAGTCCAGTAGTAAATCATAGAAATTATATTGGTAGGTAACCAAATTTTCATTACTGAAATGCAGGGAAAATTTAGCAGAATATATTGGTAGGTACCCAAACGTCACAGTACTGGGGTGGGGGAGGAGAAGGCAATACTGAGGTAGGGAATCCTTGAACATCAGAATGTCATGGTAGAGAGTCATACAAAACAGGGAAGGGGAGCCTATCTTCAGATATTTTGGCATACAAGATCAGCAGCTGTGTCCATCAGCCCTTTCCCATTGATATGTAGTAGTTGTAGTCCTAAACATCCAGCAGACTTGAGGTTTCCAAACATATTGTAAGATATGCTATGTCATACTGGGGCCAGGAATGCAGGAATACTGTACTCAGTTCAGCACTATGATTGGTACTGCTCTTTCTATGCCTTTGCCAGTTTTTCACCCTTGTAACCTTTTTGAAGTGATGGAACAGGAAGACAGAGTATAAATTCACCATATTTTGTTGCTGAAAAGTGATTTTTGCATCATAAAGCTCTATGAATCTCTCCTCTTCAGATCTATCCCTGACTGTGTGGAGAAAGTGATGAAGGCATGGATAGCCATCTCCCACTATCCATGTTGTCAGTTCTCAATCAGTCACCAATCAAACAGAGCTTGCATAAAGACAGTCTTCTCATATTCCGTTCTCTCGACGAGAATCACACAGATCCCTTCTCTGCCTGATTGGTTGGTAGGGGTGATCTAACCTCCAGGCACAGAAAAAGGAGATTTAAATTTCCCCACCTCTATATGCTGAGATGGAGAAATGATCTGTATGCGTTTGTGTATGTATGTGTAATACACTCACCCATACCCACGTAGATCTGTATGCCTTTGTGTATACAGTATATGTGTAATACACTCACCCATACCCACGTACGTATGTATATAATGCTTGTGTATGTGTGTGATGTAGGAGGGCGGGCAGGGGCAATGCCTACCACTGGTATGAGTCCTACGCCCCCCTGCCTTTTGCGCCTTCTGGCATTCTGGGAGAAACAGCTTCCTCCCCCATCTTTGAACCCTCCAAAGGCAAACTGCTGGAGCTTAGTATCAAAGCTTATGCTTTGTGTGCAAAAGATTGCAAGTCCAATCCCTAAGAAAAGTTGGAGAATTCCAGACTGAAATCCAGGTTACTGCCAGCCAGTGTTACCAACACTGGTCTAAATGATCTTGTGATCTAGAGTCAGTGTAAAGTAACTTACTATGTTCCTAGGGCAGTACATATCAGCTGCTAAATCTTGAAATGAGACTCCTGTTCTCTTGTCAAAAACTGGTGCTGCCTCTGGAAGATTCTGGATGTCAAAACAAAATTCTCACACTTACGTAGCTCTGGACATTCCCTACAATTAAAGCAAATGCTTCAGATATGAAACTCCAGTAGAAACAACCGAGGGTTATCTTAAAAGATACTAAACATTCAGAATTAAAAGTGGGTCCACAAATATGGGGCTTCTCCCAGCAAAAATCTCCTGTTCCAGACCATTTATTTTAAGATGCAGAAATGGCTAATTAAGGAAATCCTGCCTGCAGAACAATTTAGGGGACAATATCCACCCCCAATTCAAGCTGAATCCTCCCCCTTTTTTGTTGCCACATACCTGACAAGAATCGCTGGACAATCCTTCCAGACAACAATGTGTTTGGCTGTGCCTGGGGAGAAACCACGCTTAGATCGCAGTTTGCGAAAGGGTTTGTGAGTTTTGCGCTCTGTCGGTGAGTCCTCCTGAAAAACTTCCCAGAAACAGCTTCGGAGACTTCCTCTCCCTGTGAAGCAACAGCAGCAGCAGCAGCAGCAGCAACAACTAGGCCTAAGGCCTCTGGAGAATGAAGAGGGAAGATGCTGTCAGTGTATTTGGGGCCAGTCCAGTGTATACGCAGCTGATGATGCATGGAGAATTGGCCTCCTTCCCTCCTCCTCCTCCCTGGCTTTTCGAATGCTGGGAAGAAACCAGTGTCACTTGGCAGAAGACATGGGTCAGCCGTGGTCTGAAAGGGTTTTCTCTCTCTCAATAATGTGTAACGTTACTCTAAAGGAAGCACAGACTCCAAGAGAAAACCCCGAAGAAGAACGTTCAGCATTCTCCGCCCCTTCAGCTGGGTTTTTGCTATTGGCAAGTACTCACAGATTTCTCCAGGTTATGCTTCTTATATTATGCTCTGCTAGAGCACAATTCCCAGCATTTTGCATCAGTCAGAGAGTGCGTGGGAGGAATCTTGCACTCACCGACACACACACACAGAATTTACCCACCCCCATCCTCCTGTCACTGCAGTAATTCATCAATTACATCTGATTCAGCACTTACCATTGAGCTATTTCTGTAGGGGAAAGGCTGCTGACTATGTCTGGGGTTACCAGAGAAAAGGAAGAGGTGGGGCTCAGCTGCTGCCCAGTCCCTGTTGGGGACAATTAAGTGTCACAACTGAAGAGACATCACTAAACCAAATACCCGGAAACCATTTGTCCTGCTGGGCAGCATTCAGACCCTTCAGAAAAGGTCTGTAAATTAGGACGTGCTATTATGAGACAGCAGCCTTGACATTGGCCTAGAGTGAGATGGAGCTGGGTTTTTTAAAATTTAGTCAAGAGTTTAAATCTGAGACAGGGAGCAATGGGTTAAATGGCGGGATGAAGTGGAGTGTCTGAGACTTTCTTTCACTTTTCCTCTAAAGACATCCAGAGGATCAGAGTGCTACTTCATGGCCCTCTCCCTCATGACTATACAAATAAGGCTATTGCCACCATACACCTTTGTTGAGTATTGCGGTTCATTCACAGGTCACTGCTGTTCTTTAGGAAGCCACAGATTCCAGAGAGAAAGAAACTTCTGGATGCTTATGCAGAGGAATAAGAGCAATAAGAACAATAAGAAGGTGTATTTATTTTTAGAAAAACCGCACCTTTGATCTTAGGGCATGAAATATCTGAAATATCACTTCATATATCTGTCCTATGCTATCAACCTTGCTATAAAATAGGAAATAGGAATACAGCTTTTGTCAGTCTAGAAGTAAGCAACAATTCACACTTTTAAGCTAGTTTATCTGCTGTGTTTACGCTAGCTTTCTCTGCAAACCGCGAGAGGGAGCGGGGCACATTCAACCCACCAGAGAACCACATGTCACGCCTCTGCCACTTTATATATCTGTCCTATGCTATCAACCTTGCTATAAAATAGGAAATAGGAATACAGCTTTTGTCAGTCTAGAAGTAAGCAACAATTCACACTTTTAAGCTAGTTTATCTGCTGTGTTTACGCTAGCTTTCTCTGCAAACCGCGAGAGGGAGCGGGGCACATTCAACCCACCAGAGAACCACATGTCACGCCTCTGCAACGCAAGTGTACCCCTGAGTAGACAGGTCCATTTCCCTGTCACAGTTCTGTGTGTTCCTGAGAAGGAACACTGTGGTAAAAATGGCAAATGTATGCCGCCATAAAAAGGCAAATTAACTAACCTGAGACTGGAAGAACTGCAGATTCACCCCAAATGGAAACTGATCCCCAAAGAAAAGAGTTAAATATTCCTATCAAGCTTAGTCCAGGAAGGAACAGACACTAGTAGGCAGAAAACTGTATTTTCATTGAAATAATGTTGCGATAGTTTTATTTATTTACTCCATGTTTATTCTGCCTTTCTTCCAATGAAACTAAGGCATTATATAAGGCTTTTTCCTCCCTTCCCACATCAAATCTGATCCTCACAACAGTCCTGTTGGGTAGGCTAGGATGAGAAGTAGTGACGGGCTCAATTTTTCTCCAGTGAACCTCCGGGCTCAGTGGGGATTTAAATTTCAACCTCTTCCTATTCAAACTAGACACAGTCACCCATATGCCACACTGAAAGTGCAACCTTTTCAACAAAACTAAGACGAATACATCATAGCTTTTGCTTTGTGTACACAAAATCCCAATTCAGTGTCTGACATTTCCAGATAAGGTTGAGAAACACCCACCTTGGAAACTGTTGATAGGTGCTGTCAACCCTGTGCAGCCCACATTGAGCTAGATAGGCCACTGCTGGAAGTTATCTATGTGAGGCACTTCTGGACAAAGAATAATAATCTGTCAGTTCTGTTTTCTTAATGTGGTATTTGATCCTACCTATTCTGCTCCCCCTCAGTGTCTGTGGGCAGGTCTAATAAAATGTAATGCAGGTATACGTAGGTAGCAGAATAACATCCAGGATCATGCCAGCTCTATCAATACAACTTATCTTGTCTAAGTATGGAAACTAATCAGCATCATAAGAAACACCCAAGATCTCCAGGAAGAACCACAAAAGGATCCTACCTGCAACCCTGGAGAGCTGATGCCAGTCAGAGTTAACAATACTGGGCAAGAATCACCAAGTCAGCTTCCTATGTTCTGCACAGCACACGAGGCTGTATCCTATATACACCACTTCAGAGGCAGATACAAGTCAGACATCTGCTTCTAGTCCCCTGGAAACATCATTCCCTATTTGTTTTGTACATTAATAGTCTCCTAGTTGTAGATGGTGGCTTAACAACAATACCTTAGTACTACTTACAATGTATGATCCATCTGCAAAGTACTGAGCAAATATTTGCTAATTAGATGGCAAACTCCCCACAACAAGGACTTGTTACTTACTTGGCACTGTTCTATCTATGACTTTGTAACTAAGCACCGGCCGTTGCAGAGATCTTATGTTTTTATTTTTCTGCATGGCAAAGGCTAGCAAACATTTCTAGCTCCCCAGCCTGACAAACTCAGTATCAGTTGGACAATAACCCATGTTATTCCTTACCATCATAGGCACTGGCTTTGGCGTGATGGGAATGGCTGTCTAACACATCTTAAGAGCTGTGTTGAAAGTGTGCCTCTCATCCTTCTCATAACTTCTCAGTTGTCTTGATTCACAGAGATATTGCACAACCACTTCAACTAGGTAACAGTGTATGCAACTAATTTATAATTTATTTATTATATTAGTTACTTTTATAACCTGTCCTTCCTCTAAGGTGCTCAACACGGCACACAGGCTCTCTCCCTGCCCACTCTATTTCACAACAACCCAGTGAGGTAGATCAGTCCAGAGAATACGGCTGGCCCACAGTCACCAGCACGTTTTATCATTCGGTGCCCCCAAAGAAGCAGGTTATAGTCCAGAAAAGCCTTATGGCAAATACAACTTCTTAGTCTTTAAGGTGTCCCACAGCTCCCTGTTGTCATGGCTCATGGAGAGCTGACCCTCTGATCTCTCAAGTTGTAGTGCAATTCTCTGCTATACCACATTGGCTCTCAACTAATGGCAGCCAGGTCTATAAATCACTATGCAAACATAGCTCATTAGATCCAACAGTAGGGAACCAGCTCTGTCCCTAAGCCAAAACAAAACCACTTGGTCCAAAATGCCTCTGACAGATCACCACTTGGGACTGAAGGATGGAGCACATAACTCTTATATCTACACTGGCCACCTAACAATTTCTGGGCTCTGGGGTTCTCACCTTTCAAGCATTTAAAGACTCCCTTTCCCCCTTTATTATCTTGATTGCATAACCCAGTCAATAGCAGAGGTTCTGCTCTGTTTCTCAATGCCCAATAAGGAGATGCAGAACAATGACAGCCTCTCCATTGGTAGCAGGGTGGTGGTGGTCTGGAATGCCCTCCCAAGGAGAGTTATAACGCAACTCTTTGGGGAGGCCTTCAGAGAAGAATGAAAGCCAATTTGTTGTTGTGTCAAAATTGTTGCCTTCTGTGTTACCCCAGGCTGTTGGATTAAATTTTCCTGTTGTGAGTGATCTGGCCTCTTACAGGGAAGAAAGGTGTAATTTTTTTCATAAAGAAATAGCTTGGAGTGGTGATGGCTAATTCAAGTCTTGTGTGATTGTCTTCTGTTCCTACTTCTCATTGCTATCACTTCTACCAATGTTGAAGCAGCAGCAGCAGCAGCTAATGACTACTTCCTCACTTTAGAATTCACTTTCAAGAAACAGACCTGACATAGGCATCTGCCTTAAGCTTTGGAGCTTTCACCCACAATATACTGGTCCCCAGCCTGACAAAGACTAGCGTAAATTGAAAGCTAGCTTTTTTTTAGTAGTCTAATAAAGATAACACTTGCCCTTGCTTTTACACTGCACAAGGACCACATGACTTGCTTGTTTTTTCTGGCCTATAGAGGATACCCTGAATAGCAGCTGCCCAGAGCCCCAGAGGTGTGGGACCATAACTGAGAAAGCTTGGTTTCTGGTGTTTGCTCTTGTGGCCTCCTTTGGTGTTATTGTCTTTAACATCTGGGACTGCGAAGAGTGGGTGGGATGGATAGTTCTTTTATACGATATGACCAGCACACTGAGCTGAGCATAGAAACTAACAGGAAGTCAGTGGAGATGTGCCAAGACTGAAGATATATGGCCATAACTCTGTTTGATTGCAAATTGAAGAAAACACCTGATTCCAACCACTAAGAGTCAGAATTTGGCCATAATTAGCTTCACCTAGTGGTTAGTGTTGTTGTTTAGTCTTGCGTGGCCGCCTCACTGGGTATCTTTAAGAATCAATTAAAAACATGGCTGTTTTGGCAGGCCTTCCTATCAGATAATCCCTGACGCCCCCTGACACCCTTTTCCCCTCTCTTATTGTTCCTCCCACTTTGTGTAATGTTTTATTATTTAATAATTGTTTTATATATTAATTTTATTGTACTATTTATGTTGTTAGCCGCCTAGAGTGGTCCTGATCCGACCAGATAGGCGGGATATAAAATAAATTGTTGTTGCTGTTGTTGCTGTTGTTGCTGTTGTTGCTGGTGTTGTTGTTGTTGTTGTTGTTTGTGTTGTTGTTGT